TGGGCTACATAAGACTCTGTCTCAAAACAAACAAGTAAGCAAACAACCCTTTAGAAATATTTGAGTGAGGAGATACACAATGAGAAATGCTAGCCATGTAGCTAGCACATGTGCCTCATGTGCACGTATTCTCATGCCTCGTGTGCACGCATCCTCATGTGACACATCCTCATGTGCACACAACCTCATGTGACACATCCTCATGCCCCGTGTACACACATCCTCATGCCCCGTGTACACACATCCTCATGCTTTGTATGCACACATCCCCATGTGCACACATTCTCATGCCCTGTGTGCATGCATCCTCATGCCCCATGTACACACATACTCATGCCTTTTGCACCCATCCTCATGTGCACACATCCTCATGCCCCGTGTGCACCCATCCTCATGTGCACGCATCCTCATGCCCCGTGTACACACATCCTCATGCCCCGTGTACACACATCCTCATGTGCACGCATCCTCATGTGCATGCATCCTCATGCCCCGTGTGCACACATCCTCATGTGCACACATCCTCATGCCCCGTGTACACACATCCTCATGCCCCGTGTGCACACATCCTCATGTGCACACATCCTCATGCCCCGTGTACACGCATCCTCATGCCCTGTGTGCACACATCCTCATGCACCATGTTTAAGTGAAACAAAGATGGTTAATACAGAAAAAAAGATAATAAATTTAAATCTTAAAAAATAGCACTTTGTGGGGAGGTTTGAAGTGGTTGGTCAGTGAGTAAAGTTACTTACTACACAAGCAAGAAGACCTTAGTTCAGATCCGTAGCACCCACATAAAAATCTGGCCATGGCAGCACAGACTACTAAGCCTAGCAGAGTGGAGGCATAGGCCTAACTAGCACTTGTTGGACACCAGCTTACCTCCAAGTTCAATGAGAAACCCTGCCTTGAGGGAATAAGGTAAATAGTGATGGAGTAAGATACTGATGGGTTTTTTTTTTTTTTGGCCTCCATGAGTGTTTGCAGGTGCGCCTACCACTAACATACCACATGCATATATTTCATACACATAAGAAAATTAGTATTTTTGAATCATAAGAATATTTATATAATAATTCACATTTCCTGTAAAAGCATCTCAAAGGTTCTAATGTAAGTGGAAACAGGTGACATTTTGAGAATTGAAAGTACTTTCTAAAAGCTTAGGAAATTCTAATTACATATTACACATTATCATATTATGTAAATTTAGTAATGCACTTACTCTTTTATGATTTTCTTCTAAATTTTATAATTTTCTCTTAATAGTATAATAGTGGTAAATACATATAAACATATTTAGACAGACCTTGATAAAGTCATTTAAATGTGCATTAACTTTTTACTCTTAGATATGAAATTGGACAAATTATGATATTAGAATACAGACATGCACTATGAGGAATCTAAAGTAGACACTGTAGCAACTGCACTTGTGAAGGCTGACTCAATAAAAAAGTTTATAATTCTGCAGCTTTTATCAGATTACTGGAAAATGGAAGTTAGGCAAAAAACAAAGTAAAGATGTCACAAACTAAAATCTTTTCAATAAAGCCCAGTAGGCCAGTGACATTTTCCTGAGAAGGTGTAGTGGATGCTGACTTTGTTTTGGATACTCATCACTATCTCAAAGATGCTTAGACAGAACCATAGCGTGGGATTTTGTGTTGGTTTAAAAGCATAAAAAGTTCCCCTACTGTCTTTGTCCTAGGCCCCTGACAGCTCTGAGAATTCATTTCCTTTTATATTATGACTGTGATTTCAAATCTTTTTACTATACTACTTTTTGTTGCATTGACTAGACTCTACCAAGTTCTGTATATAGTTGACAGTGTCATGTGTCTAAGCTACAGCTCTCCAACTGTCATAGGCTGAATTGTGACCCTGGAAGCCTCAAGTTTATAAAGCTTTAATCCCAGAACCTCAGAATATGACGATATTTATCACAAGGTCTTTAAAGAGACAATTACAACACTAAATAATGGACTCAGTGGTGTGTGTGTGTGTGTGTCTGTGTGTGTGTAAGACAATTAATTTAAAATGATGTCATTGGGGTAGCCTTATTCAACTATGACTAATGGATGTAAACACAAACAAACTGAGACTATGTGGACATGGATGGAAGATGACAATGAATGAAGGGAAGAGACCTCAGAAGAAGCCAGTGCTGATGACACCTTGAGAACTGGCTCAAGCCTCCGGGACAGAGGAAAATTATCCTCTGACCCCTCTTTTCTCCTGTACTGACCCTCCTTTACACCTATCCCCCCTCTTTCCCTTCCTTTCTTTTTCTCTTTTCCATGTTTTTTTTCTCTTTCTTCTTTACTCATTTTTCTTTCCTTTTGTTTACATTCCCTGCTCTGTTGCTGTGTGGTATCTATAGACAGCATAACTGTGTTGAGAAGAACTCCTCCAGTACAGAAACACACAGACATCATTCCCCTCTCCTACAAGTCTCCAGATCTTACAAAATTTCTATTGAGAAACTGTTAACCACAATAGATATATTCTAAATAGAAAGAAGATGGTGTGGCTAAAAACCAGAGTCTTAGTAGAGTACCAAAATCCTTCATTATTTAGCAATGAGTTATGGCTGACAATGTACAACTTAGAACAGAGAGCTGCATGGTATTGGCACAGAGACAGGCAGGAAGATCAATGAAATAGAATTGAAGACCAGAAATGAACCCACACACCTATGGTCACTTGATCTTTGACAAAGGAGCTATAACCATCCAGTGGAAAAAGGACAGCACTTTCAACAAATGGTGCTGGTTCAACTGGAGGTCAGCATGTTGAAGAATGCAAATTGATCAATATTTATCTCCTTGTACAAAGCTGAATGAAGCCCAAGTGGATCAAAGACCTTCACATAAAACCAGATACATTGAAACTAATAGAAGAGAAAGTATGGAAAAGGCCTCAAATATTTGGGATGGGGAGAAGTTCCTGAGCAGAACACCATGGCTTATGCTCTAAGATCAAGAATTGACAAATGGGACTTCATAAAATTGCAAAGCTTCTGTAAGGCGAAGGACACTGTCAATAGGACAAAGCAGCAACCAACAGATTGGGAAAAGATCTTTACCAATCTTGCATCCAATAGAGGGCTAATATCTAGTATATACAAAGAACTCAAGAAATTAGACTCCAGACAATCCTATTAAAAATGGGGTACAGCGCTAACAAAGAATTCTCAACCGAGGAAACTTGAATGACTGAGAAGCACCTAAAGAAATGTTCAGCATCCTTAGTCATCATGGAAATGCAAATCAAAACAACCCTGAGATTCCACCTCACACCAGTCAGAATGGCTAAGATCAAGAACTCAGGTAATAGCAGATGCTGGCAAGGATGTGGAGAAAGATCCATTGTTGTTGGGATTGTAAGCTGGTACAACCACTCTGGAAATCAGTCTGGTGGTTCCTCAGAAAATTGGACATAGCATTACCTGAGGCCCAGCTCCTGGACATATACCCAGAAGATGCTCCAACATATAACAAGGACATATGCTCCACTATGTTCATAGCAGCCTTATTTATAATAGCCAGAAGCTGGAAAGAACCCAGATGTCCTTCAACAGAGGAATGGATACAGAAAATGTGGTACATTTACACAATGGAGTATTACTCAGTTATTAAAGACAATTAATTCGTGAAACTCTTAGGCAAATGGATGGAACTAGAAAATATCATCCTGGGTGAGGTAACCCAATCACAAAAGAACACACATGGTATCTATTCACTGGTAATTGGATATTAGCCCCAAAGCTAGCAATTCCCAAGATACAACTCACAGACTACATGAAGCGCATGAAGAAGGAAGACCAAAGTGTGGATGCTTTGGTCCTTCTTAGAAGAAGTAACAAAATACTCATGGGAACAAATATGGAGACAAAGTGAGGGACAGAAACTGAAGGAGGGGGCCTTCTGGAGACTGTTCCACCTGGGTATTCATCCCATGTGCAGTCACAAAAGGTAGGTGCTGATGTGGATGCCAGGAAGTGCATGCTGACAGGAGCCTGATATAGCTAGCTGTCTCCTTAGAGGTCTGCCAGAACCTGACATATACAAAGGTGGATGCTCACAGCTAACCATTGAACTGATCATGGGATTCCCAATGGAGGAGTTAGAGAGAAGACTGAAGGAGCTGAAAGAGTTTGTGGGTCCATGGGGAGAGCAACAATACCAACCAACCAGAGATCCTAGGGTCTAAACCACCAGCCTGGGAGCACATAGGGAGGGACCCATGGTTCCATCTGTATGTGTAGGGGAGGATGGCCTTGTAGGGCATAGGTGGGAGAGGAGATCCTTGGTCCTGTGAAGGCTGTATGCCCAAGTGTGGGGAGGTGGGAGTGGGTGGGTGGGTGGGGTCATAGCCTCACAGAAACAGGAGGGGGGGGGGTGGGTGGGGGGTTTCGGGGTGGGGGCAAATGGGGAAAGGGGATAACATCTGAAGTGCAAATAAGATATACAATAAAAACAAAACAAACAAAAAGAACAGAGAAACCATATTCTATCATTCTAAGATGGGAACATTATTGGCCTCATTTTAAAATGGTGGTATTGGGCTGCTCAGGTATTACTTACCTGATTTAAGATTACTAACAACAATTGCACTTTTAAAATAGTAAAAATTTACCATGTGCCAGATGCTATTGTAATGTCTCAAGTGACTGATAGCCTTTAGTGTTCATGGTGATCTTGTGAATTAACCAATGTCAGGGACTGAATCCAAAGACTAAGTAATATTATGAAAGTTGGCATTTTAACAAGCAGCCTGAGTTCCTGACCAACACCCTCTTTTGGCTTTGAAAACCTTACTTGACCAGGACTCCTTAAGGAGAGGTAGACTTCTGTGAATTCAAGGCTAGTGTGATCTACATAGGAAATTCCAGGCCAACCAGGACTACATTTCAAGACTCTATCTCAAACAAACAAACAAACAAAAAACAACAAAACAACTTAAACAACAAAACTCAAAGTGCCCCTTACTTGTTGGTGAGTCTAGGTCAAAGGCACCCAGGAGTCTGGGCAAGAGTGTTTGTAGTTCCTCGTCTTCCAAGTTGTTTCTCTTTTCACTGAAGCGGTCCATCTCTTTCCTTGCTGAAGGTGTTTGAGCAGAGCTGTTCACTTCAGTAGGAGGAATCTGGAGATTGTCCTGCAGTTCCTCCTGGTGTACAGATGGGAAACTACAAACTTTCCTCAACATCTTTTGTGGGTGACTTTGTTTCCTGGTGCTCTGCAAAATGATCTCTGGGGATTCAGAGCCTGGTAAAGCTTTCCCTGAACTTGCTTGACATTTGTGATTTCTGTCCACCTGGGCAGAGTTAGGAAGAGGTTCCCATTCTGGACTTTCTCTAGTGACACTCCTGATGCAGGAAGAGTCATTTCCTTCCCATAAACCATCTTCTGGTAAAGAATGGACAATCTTGGATACTATGGTTTGAGGAGAAGAAGAAGGATGGAATGGCTGCAACAGTGCCTGGGTAAAGAAAATCTTCTTTAGGAAGAAATAATGTAGTTTCCCCACAAATACATTACAGTTCAACATCCCAACTACATTGGTAACATGTTTTCTTTTTGTTTGGTTGGTTGATTTAGTTGTTGTTTGCTTCCCACTCTTGATATTTCAATAATTTTACTTTATGCTGTCACTCCAATATAAATTTAAAGGTGTGTAAGACTGGGCCTTGCTCAAGTTGTAAAATGTTTCAGAAACAACTCCAAGAAATTTGGAAAGATGTCTAATTCTGAGTATGTCTAGCTCTAAAAGTGTCAAAAGGGATTTCTGAAAACATACACTCATAGTGATTGACAGGCATAAATTATTACAGTAAAACGTGATCCTCAGGAAAAGCCTCAGAAGTGTGTTATAAGGGACTTCATGAGAAGCTGGAGGCACAAGATTCTAGGGCTGTGTTCCACTGTTTTCAAGTTTGTGCCCAGGGTTCTCAGGAACCTAGAGAAGAATGTCACTGTTCACCATAAATGTTGGTAAAGTGCCAAAAAGACTGATGAAGAACAAGCCTGTGTTAATTGTATACCTATTGTGTGATAGGCCCAGGGAATGTGGTAATAAAATGGAGTTTCCAGAATTGGGAAACAATATGTGGTGAAGGAATTTAGTAATATGTAAATAAAACTTGAAGTATATGAGAATGTAAGCTCAGAAATTAAGGCTGGACTTCAACAACAACAGAAAGCCTACATATTCATGGGAACTGAACACATCTCTACTCAATGACCACTGAGTCAGGGAAGACATGAAAAACTTTCTGGAATTCAATAAAAATGATTACACAGCATACCAAAATTTATGAGATACTATGAAAGCAGTACTAAGAGGAAAGTTCATAGCACTAAGTGCCCTCATAAAGAAAGTGGAGATTTCTCATACTAATGAGTTAGAAGTACATTTGAAGGCTCTAGGAGAAAAAAAAGAAACAAATGTACCCAGGAGGAGTAGATGACAGAAAATGATCAAACTCGGGGCTGAAATCAATCAATTAAAAACAAAGGGAACAATACAAAGAAATAAGAAAACTAAGAGCTGATTCTTTGAGAAAAATCAACAAGATACACAAATGCTTTGCTAAACTAACTAAGACGCAGAGAGACAGCACCCAAATTAACAAAACGAAAAGGGAGACACTGGAAATTCCAAGAGTAGGTCTTAATTCAAAAGGCTGTTCGCCATAAAATTGGAAAATCTAAATGAAATGGATGATTTTCTAGACAGATTTACCAAAGCTAAATCAATATCAGGTAAACCATTTGAACAGTCCTATAACCCCTAAGGAAATAGAATCATCCATCAAAAATCCCCAAACAAAAAATAAAAAAGCCCTGGGCCAGATGGTTTTAGTGCAGAATTCTACCAGACATTAGAAGAAGAGCTAATGCCAGTATTCCTCAAACTATCCCGTAAAATAGAAACAGAGGAACACTACCTAATTCATTCTATGAAGTCATAGTCACTCTGATACCTAAACCACAATAAGACTCAACAAAAAAGAGAATTTCAGAGCAATATCCCTTATGAACATTGATGCAAAAAACTCAATAAAATACTAGCAAACTGAATCCAAAAACACATGAAAGAAGTCATCCACCATGATCAAGCAGGCTTCATTCCAGGGATTCAGGGATGGTTTAATATACAAAAATCCATCAATGTCATTCACCATATAAACAAATTGAAAGAAAAACTCATCCCATTAGATGCTGAAAAAGCATTTGATAAAATCCAACACCCTTTTCTTGGAGAGAACAGGGATATAAGGGGAATACTTAAACTTAATAAAGGCAATATACAGCTAGCCAATAACCAGCATCAAATTAAATGGACAGAAACTTAAAGACTCATCTATACTGCTCCTAGGCATATACCCAAAAGATGGTCCACTATACTATGAGGATATGTGCTCCACTATGTTCATAGCAGCTTTATTCACAATAGCCAGAATAGGAAGCAACCCAGATGTCTCTCAACCGAAGAAGGGATACAGAAAATGTGGTACATTTACACCATGGAATACTATCAGCTATTAAAAACAAGGACATCATGAATTTAGCAGGCAAATGGATGGAACTGGAAAATATCCAGAGTGAGGTAATCCAGACCCAAATGACATACATGATATGTACTAACTCATAAGTGTGTATTAACCAAAAAGTTCAAAATACTTATGATTTATCCCACAGAACCAAAGAAGTTAAACAAGAAGGAAGGCCCAAGTGAGAATGCGTGAATTCCCCTTAGAAGGGGGAACAAAATTGTCATGGGAGGCAGAGGGAAGGAGGGACCTGGGTGAGAGAGGAAAGGGTGAGGGGAATGGGGGGGGGCGGGGCCAGGCATGGGGAGAAATAAGAGAGAAGCCCAGAGGGCTAGGAGAATGAACAGAAATATGCAGCTGCCAAAGGTGGGTGTTAGCAGATAGGTTTCTGTGACGTCCCAGAGACTCAGGATGATGGAGGCTCCTAGGAGTCAATAGGAGTGACCTTAACCAAAATGCCCAACACTGGGGATATGGAATCTGAAGAGACCAACTCCAGTAGCCAGACAGAACCCACAGTGGAGGGATGGGGACACTAACCCATATACAAAACTTTTGATCTAAAATTGGTCCCATCTAAAAGAAATGCAGGGACAAAAATAAAGCAGAGACTGAGGGAATGGCCAACTACTGATTGTCCATTTTGAGACCCATCCCACAGGCAAGCACCAATCCCTCACACTGTTAATGATGCTATGTTGTGCTTGCAGAGGGCTGCCTGGCATAGCAGCCTTCTGAGAGGCTCTATCCTCACAGCTGACTGAAACAGATGCAGATTCCCACAGACAAACATCGGATAGAGGTCAGGGACCCCTATGGAAGAGTTAGGGCAAGAGCTAAAGGCCCTTAAGTAGATGGCAACACCACAGGAAGACCAACAGTGTCAACTAACCTGGATGCCTGGGAGTGCTCAGAGACTGAGCTACAAACCAAAGAGCATACAGGGGCTGGTCTGAGGCCTCCGGTGCATATGTAGCAGAGGGTTGCCTTGTCTGGCCTCAGTGGGACAGGATGTGCCTAATCCTACAGAGACTTGATGCACCATTGTGGGAGGATACCTAGGGAGGGCTACCCTAGCAGAGGGAAAGGAGGGGATTTGGGGAGGAACTCTACCAGGGGGTACCAGGAGCAGGGGAGGATTTGTGATGTAAATAAATAAAAAATAAAAAGTAAACAACTTAATATCTGCTGTTATAGCAAAAGTTTCGAAATTTTTTTTAATAATCTGTCTTTTCAGTGTTGTGTGTATTGAAATGGAAAGCACCCGTACAGGATTTCAGATGCATCCTGAAACACAACCATTGCCTCTCCTGCTGAGGAAAGATTGACGGATTGTGTTAGACTAGGACATTAGGCAATAATTTTCTGGGGGAAAGGAAAGAAAATTAATGCGACACTGCAGAGAAAATTATTAACTTTGTGGTCATTTATAACAGTCAAGAATTTAAGCGATAATTAAAATTTTAGAAAGCTTGTATCTGCCATAGGCGAGCTGGATATCTTTTCAGTTCTTAAATGGTTTTCTGACAACAACTGGTGAAACTGAATGTGAGACTTTTTCTTCTCATCTCTCTCTCTCTCTCTCTCTCTCTATATATATATATATATATATGAAATTGGCAAGCTTCAGGAGGCTCAACATAGCCCAGTGAGTCAATGTTCACCACATGACCAATATATATTACAAAATGAAACATGGATAGTTCCGCTCAGAGAGCAGCTAGAACACTGGGATTTTAATAAAGTTGAGTATGAAACAAACACGATTTTAGATTTCATAATGCACTAACTGTTTCAAAAACAATTGCTCTTTATGTTTGATGTTGTGTCAGTTGATAATACCTTAGTTATGTGATAGGCTACAGCAAAATTTCGTTCTTTCTTCTCCTTTTTAACTGCACCTTTATGTAAGACTGGATTTTTTCACGCACTTTAAGTAAACCTATCCTTATAGATTGCTTACAGCGAGGAAAGTTCAGCTTTCATTAAGTCCCTAATTATAAAGGTTTAACAAAGTACACAAATCATTGACACTCTTCTAGGCTCTAAAAACACCCAGTTATTGCTTGAAAATATTATAATATAACAGTTTATCAATTTCATATCTCAGTTAATGAATATGTTTTTGAAACACTTCTCAGTCTTTGTTGTTATTGACAGGATAAAATAGCAACAGATATAACTCACAGGGATAAAGCATCCTAGGGAAGTCCTCAACACCTTAACAATGTACAAAGGGATCCTGAGGCCAAATGCTATATGGGAGCCCTTTGCTCTATCGCTTCCTCTGTGTAGCAAGACTGCAGTCTGGAAGTGTACAGCATGGTGGGTGGAAATGGGAGCAGATTTAGGGAGATGGAGGAGAGTGGATAGGAAGAGGCTGGTCCAAGTGAAGTGTGAGACTTTGGGAAGCAGCTCTTCTTTGGCCTGGCAGGGAGATACTTGAGGTTAGACTTTCAGGTAGTCCAGGTAGATAGTAGCGCTCACATTTGTACCTGTAGGTCTCGCCTCATCTGTTGCAGCTTGGTCCATAGGTTATCCTGGTTGGTTGTGAGCTCCTGAATCTTCGTTTCAAATCTGCAGTTCTGTTCTTCCTGTAAGGTGTATGTACCTTGCAATTTGTCCTTGTATCTGCGTAACTGTTTTCTAAGGAGCCTGAAGAGAAAACAGGTTTGCATAAGAGTGGAGTATCACACCTACAGTCCAGTGAGAGCTTCGCAGGTCCTCCTGGTGGGCAGCCTTTGCCTTGACTACCATGCCACTCCATCAGAATCCCTTTGCTGCTCTGTCTCTGTGGGCAGATACCCTTTGTGTTCATTACATATGCCTTTCAACTAAATATCTCACCGACTTCAACCAGCTTTAGAGAACTCACCAGGCCTGTTGGATTACTTTTGACAACATGGTTTAGCATCAACTTACATTTACACATTAATACCCCATTTGTAAAGGCAATTCACTTAGCATGAAGACTACAGAGAAGGCATACAGTTCATGAATCTCAGATCTGTTCGCTTATACTCTCCCTTCGTGTCTTTTGCCCCTTGAGGTTATTGCTTCAGTCACTTCCTTGCAATCTATGCTAGCACATTACACTTTCAACAAGGCTTTGCTTGCTTCCCCATTACCTCCCTACAAGGCAGAACTCCAGCTTCCTCCCTGGCACTGTCTATATGCTTCTCTTCTTGATTTTTATGTATAGTTTTCCTCGATGTCCAATTACTCAGGTTTTTATCTAGTCTTCAGCCTTAATTTCTGAGCTTAAATACTCATATACTTCTGGTTTTATTTATATATTACCAAATTCCTTCACCACACGCTGTTTCCCAATTCTGGAAACTCCATTTTATTACCACACACACAATAGGTATACAATTAACATGGTCTTGTTCTTCATCAGCCCTTTCGGCATTTTACCAACATTGACAGTGAACAGTGACATTTTTCCATATCAGAGCCTTTGAAACTCCTAAGTGTCATAATGCCTGGAAAAGGTCTTGAAATAAAGTTTTAGGCCCCACACAAAACAGGTGTCTCCAAAGAGTCACCTTTAAACCTCTAGTCACAAGGAAGCCTGATCCAAAAATCCTAATTATAGTTGGAGTGCCAAGCATTTTATATGGTAGTTTTTTCAGAACCGAGTCAGTCCAGGGGTTATATAACTCATAAGGCAGCATTCTCAGAGGTATGTAGACAGGCTGTCAATACCACAGTGCTGTGTTTCACTAATCATGACAATGTCTCTTTTTGTCCCATGTAGTCCAAACCAGACATCCTTTTCTCCTCTCTGGCCTACCCACCATGTTTAAACAGCTGAAGTATCCTCATTCTTCAGTAGCTTAGGGGAAACCAAGCCAAGCCTTATCAGGAACATTTATTCTTTCTCTTTTTTTTGTTGTTGTTTGTTTTGTTTAACAAGATCTCACCATGTAGCTGCCTAGAACTCCCTAAGTAGACCAGGTTGGCTTTGAACTCAAGAGATTCACTCACTTGCCTCTGTCTCTCAAGTGCTGGAATTAAAGACATGTACCAGTACACCTGGCTCTCAAATTTTTAATTTTAGAGGGAAAATTCTCATAAATTGTTCCTACTAGCTATAATTTACCTGCCACAAGTATTACTAGTAGTTTGAAGCCTACTACTTTCCAATCAAATCTATGATACTGAGTTCAAATTACCTGAGAAATAATTCCTTCCAAATGACCTAGAACCTGCCCTTTTAGAGTTTCATATTTGCTTTCTAGAACTAAGCACACTGAATTCTGTGTGTATGAAGCCTTAGAAGGGACCTAAACACTCCCAGAAAGGGCACATGCTGTGCAGAGAAGCACAACTTCATTGAGTCCTCAGACACTAGAGTAAGGAGTTGTCACTAACAACTGGATGATGCTCTTCCCATGTATGATCAGAGATGGAGGCAAGGCTCTGCTACACTACCAGGGACTTCATGCTGCCTGTTCCTGAGCTTACAATTAACTGTCCATTCCCGGTCACTTCTGCTGTGTCCTGATAACCTGGGTCTCCAGCTGTTCGGCTTCTTTTCAATCCCTCGAAGGTATGTCTTTATTGATTGTTCTACTGTTTCAGGAATTAAATGTTAATAATCTCAAATTGCTTATTCAACCTATTACTAGTGCCTTTTATATCATGTCACACAAACATTCGGGATGTGTGCTGTCTACAGTTTCATACAAACCATCAGTAAAAATGCTGATGCCTCTGGTTTTCATTTCTATAATTAAATCTGTCTGATACTTTTGTATGCTTTGTAGTGATAAATATTTTATTAGGTTGCCAATGATGTATGCAGCAGATATGGATTACATACAGGGAATAACTTAGCTTAAAATTATTTTTGAAAAACTACAAGATGTTTTATTTATTTTGAGGCAGGGTCTCACTATGTAGACTTGGCTGTCCTAGAATTCACTCTATAGACCACACTGGCTTCAAACTCACCTGCCTCTGTTTCCTGAGTGCTGGGATTAAAGGCATGCAACACTATGCCTGACAAGAATTTGTGTGTGTGTGTGTGTGTGTGTGTGTGTGTGTGTGTTCCCATGTACCATGATGAGCATGTGGAAGTCAAAGGACAACATGTAGGAGTCAGTTCTTTATTTTCAACATGTGGGTCCTAGGGATCAAAGTCAGGTCAGCATGCTTTTGTGGCAAGTATGTTGTCACTGGGACATCTACACAGCGTAATGACCTCAGGTGAACAAGGGGAAAACTGTACTGTACCCAGCTAGATGATATTCACAATGCCTAACTACTCACTCAGCATTAAGTTGCTTAAAAATAAAACCCACTTCATGTAGAAATATAGACCTTCCTTGATTAAATATTTTTTCCAATAAAAAAAGGAGGAGTTTCATTTCTTTCTATAGAAATTTTTCTGTAAAAGCTCAGGGCAGAGCTCCTAGCTTGTCTCAGCTGCTGTCACATGTTGACACGAGACTTCTGTCTTCTCAGAGACTGCATGTGTCTCTTACCTTCTTTCCTTGTGTAGAGCACTGATAGAGTCACGAGTCCTCCACAGTTCATTCTTAATGTTGACTATGGTCTAGAGAAGCAAGAAATTGGGAAAATTACTTTTTTAGTTTGAACTTAAGCACATTTTAAAAATTGTCATAAGAGCACAATAGTGATGTATTTTTCTTTCAAAATAAAATGTATTTTTACAAGCTAGCTGATGTTTGGATTTATGTCTAAGAACAATGGTGCAAATATTAATTTATGAAAAGTATAGTCATGCAGCCTAATTCACAAAGTTAATTATATTTTAGCATCATGTTATATTATAATATGTTCATATATATTAATATATAATACTAAAGTGCCAAGGGTAAGTTACAACAGCCTTCTGCCCCCATTAGCCGCTTCTAATGAACAACCACTTCCAGAGTCATCCACAAAATGTGGTTGGGTCCAATTTCATCTTTGATCTAAGCTCCTTACTTTTTCTTTCAATGCTCCATTTTATCTTTCTCACTGTCTCCTATCTTGACGTCTACTGACAGTCATCACTTCCCTTTGAATTCACCAAGTCTTTTGAATGAATGATGGTGGCTCTTCTCTTCTTTAGGATTTCCTCACTGAACTTTCTCATGTCTCATTCTGTTTCCTGAGCTGCCACATAAGAATTTCTGCTGACCCAACTCAGCTTAGTCCAAGCTCTGGGATACAGTACAGAGACCCAACCCATGGGTCCCACCCATCTGGGTAAGACATAGATTTCCAACTTTACATTTCTAGACAACTATGGCTTTACTCTGAAGCTTCCTCTCCTCTTGAAAACGACTCAGAGAGGGCCTGGGCCCAGAGGAACACTGTTCAGAAGATCAAAGGTGGGGATGAAGGCAGGAAGCGCAGAAAAAGGAGAATGAACTATGTGCACATGTGAAGTCATCTTTCTTGGTGTAGACTCTCTGCTGCTTCTGAGTACAGTAATAAAAATTGTAAACAGTTTTTGCATCCATATGATCATGTAATTGACATGTAATTGATTTATGTAATTGACAAAAATTTAGGTTTCTGTATGTGAATGTACAATGATGGTCACAGGCTAGATACCATAGTTTATTGAGTCATTCTCCATTAAAGAACATGACACTGTATTTTTATTATAAGCATTTTTATAATTAATTATTTTTTTATTCATCACAGAGGATGGGGATGTGTGTGCATGGTGTCTTTGTAGAGGTCAGAAGACAGTCTCCTGGGATGGAATTCAGGGTGCATAGCTTATATGGCAAGTGCCTTGATGCACTGAGCCCTTTTCTAGACTCCTAGGTTGTTTTCAATTGTTTAAAATTAGATGCAGTACATAAAACTGTGTGGCTTTCTTGTAAACCTGTGAAAGGTTTTTGCATTGCCAATCTAACAGAATTATACCTACACATACATGTATACACACCTCTTCACACACAAATGTAGAGGAAAAGGACTGTGAAGATCTACCCCAAACAGGTTACCCCTGAGGAACTAGGGACAAAGTCCTTATGGCTAAAAAGAGCTAAATTTTAGGTATACAGTATTTTAAACTTCAAACTCACATCTTGCCAGTACTACTAAAATCATTTCCTAGTTCTTATACATGCACAACCTGCTTTCTATGTGTCCACAGAGGAGCTAGCTGGGTGCCACCATGAGGTATTGCTGCCTCTGATCCCTTGATGGTCCCACAGAACACCTGGTTCCAAGCCTCTCAGCACTGGTGGATACACTGCCCACTCTCTAGGCAGGGTTCTACTTAGCACAGCTGTCTTGTGGAAACTAATCTTTTCCTTTAATTAGTAAACTTATTAAAATGTGTTATAAATGATCACCCCCTGATGGCCCCCTGAAGATTAGACTGCATCAATGATGGACATTTTGATATTTTTCTAGAAGAATAATTATTTCACAGCAGCATAAAAAAATAACAAAAAAGTGGAAGAAATGGGCAGGTGGTAGTATATGGGATGGAGTTGTATTTATGTAATACAAATAAGCCCTAGACATCTGCCACATTGTCAAAGTGGCCACATTGTTTAATGCCACACATTTTTACCTTCCGTACTAGTAATAACAATAAATCCAAGAACAATAACAATAATAGGGCTGAAAGGAAGCTTTAGGAGATGATGGGCAGATGTTGGGCATTTCATGGCCAAGATGGTGGTCTTGGTTTCATGGGCATGCACATGTCCATACACTCCACAGTGGTACAAATTAAATATGTGCCACTTTTAATATGTCAATCATACTTCAGTAGTAACACTCTGAAAAACAAAGCTCTTGCTATATACCACACAGATAAGTATCATAAAGCCAGAATATCAAGTGATCTCTCAGGTAAATACACAATGAAGCAATTGAATTGAGTAGGAAACAAGACAGCACATCCTAAAATCGTGAAAATTCTAGTGTGTGTCAACAGAACAAAGATACAGAGATTAACAAGGAAGGAGCTTATTTAAACAAAAAACAAGAGTAGGAAATTATTGCTGCTTTTCATAAATCAAAATAAAATCGTAATAGATTTAAATTTTTAATGTCAAGATAAAGCATGTTAAAAATAAAATACACTTAAGGTATCATTTGATTTTCTACCAGAGAGCTAAAACTGCAAGAAACTACAAAGAAAAAAAACAACCATAAAGCAAGTCATTCTATTCAAAGTAGTAAAGAATGGAAGATTCGCTTCTGCTGAACTGAAAGAGGCAAAGTTTAAATATATTGACATATCAAAGTAACAATCCAGAAGGAGAGGGGTGGGAAAGGGGAGGGACAAAATATAATGCTTTCTAAAGTATTTGTGGGGGGAGGAGTTTTGTTTCATTCATGTTGAGAAAAATAAAGGCAAGTGAAATTATATTCTTGTAAATTGGCAGAATTAAAATGTGGCAATAGTTAATTTTAGCTTTAGCCAGGTTCCAGTGAGCTAGGAGTTGGATTTGCTGGGTACATGATCTGGTATAACTTTTTGAGAGGCAATTTTGCAATAAGCATGGTGAACCTTACTCATATTTTCAATGACCTTTTTTGGTAATCCTACTTTAGAAATGTATTGTAGGGAGACAATGGGGTAAATTGTACACAAAGAATAATGAAAGGAAGTTTTAAAAGTAAATTTTAAATTACAGTAAAAATTGGAAGCAACCTAAATGTCAAAAAAAGAGTTAATTGAATAGCAATCTGTCTATTTAAATAACTATGCAGATGTTTTTGAGGAACTCTGACAATGGAAAAATGTTCACAATATAATTTACATTGACACTTTGACAGTTTAATCAGTACATCTCAAAGTACTGTCTAAATGAAAATATTCAAAGGAACCGAAGCTTATTGAAATGTTAATGATGCATACACATAGATTATTTTCATTTTTTTTACTTATTTTTCCAAATTTTATGTAATAACTGTATAGCCCAGGGAGGAGTGGGCAACCCTGTAATCCTGGTACTCTGGAGGGAGAAGCTCAAGGGTTGATTCAGTTCTAGTCCAGTTTCAGCTACAAAGAGAGACTATGTCTCAAAAGACAAACAAAAATATGTAATATTTTATGATCGAAAACATGGCTCCATAGTTTCCACTGATTACATTAGTCTGAGGTTAATTAGTTTTGCAAGCCTTGGTGCTTGCTTACAGAGTGGACACCATGCTTCTCTCTGGGTCTTTTCTCTCCTGGACTCACCTGGTGGTCTGGGTTGTCACTTGCTCGCAGAGGTGATGGCCTTTGACACAGGACTCTGGTGGGTTTTGTGGCAGCTGTTTCCACTGCTCTGGTTGAGCTTGCATATACTGGGGCTTTAGGGCCTTTATACTGAATGCAAAGCCTGTTAGAAAGTAGACATTTATAAGATGTTGGGGCAATTTTTAATGATTAAGTATGATATCAAGAAATTTTTTTCTGAAAATGTATTTTTAAAAGATTTATTTGTGTGTGTGTGTGTGTGTGTGTGTGTGTGTGTGTGCATGTATGCCATTTGTGTGTGCCCAAAGAGCCTAGAAGAGGAGGTAAGATGCCCTGAGGTTCAAATTGCAGGTATTTGTGAGCCATCCGATGAGAGTACTGGGAACCAAACTTGGGTCTTCTGGAAAAGCAACAAGCACTCCTAAATACCAAGCTATCTCTCCATCCCCATCCGCCTCTCTGACTGAAAATGTTAGTGAAGTCAGATGTCAAGGTTAGCATCTCCTCATCAAAGAGCAATAATGTGGTCACTAATGTGGTCCCATTTCCCACTTCTCTGTCTTCTTTTCTAGACCAACTGTCCAGTTGGTAGAGAGCTAGACAGCTGAAAATGTGAATGGAAATTCCATGTTCCTGTCTCCATGCCAATGTAGATATAAAAATACAAAGTCAATGATAATGACTCTCAGGTCATCTTGTCCAGGTCAGAGACCATGGATTTAAAGCATGGGTGTGTGCTTGCTATGTCATATCTGAAGGAGCACAGATGACTCTAAGGTCAGGAATATTTGATTGTACAGTGTTCCATTTAGTTTTATTCAAAATTACTTGGAAGCATTTTACCATCTTGGGTACAGTTGAGCAAAAGAAGAAAAGAGCAAAAGAGCAGGGAATTGCCTGCTCACAAAGACTTCACAATTAAGAAACAGATTAATTCTGTTGCTTTTGGTAGTCTGTGATAATGACTATAAAACACAATGAGGAAATATGAAAAGTAATTATTCTGTAGCTAGCCATTTCTGTCAAGGAGGTAGGTGTTTAAGGCTAGAGAGTGCAACACATTTTTAGAGTGGCATAATCTACCCTTGTCTCATCAGATAGTTTTAACACTTCAAGATCATTCTATTGTCTCAGCTCCGATATCTATAACAAAATGCCATATATAGCGTGCATTATAGCAGAATTCATTTTATTTTACATGTCTACAGGTTAGAAGTCTGAGATCAGACTCCAGCTCCCTCCACACTCCACCCACAGCCAGAGATAGCTTAACCCCTAAGAGTTCTAACATTACCAAGATCAAAGGTGAGTCCCCCCACCCAATATCTGCTCTCACTGGGACCTTCCACCCCCACCCCCCGCCCAGAGACACACCTTCCTTCTAATTCTCAACTATGCCAGGGAGCAGATCATGTGCTCCAGCATCCCCCCACACCCTGCCCACATCCAGAGACAGCTTGACTCCCCAGAATCACAAATCAGGAACTCCAGACTTTCTCCCACACCCAGAGACAGCCTGCAGGAGAGACATAACATAACTCATAGGAGAGACAGGCTCCAGTCAGAGACAGCAAAGCCAGTCAACTCCAGAGGTAACCAGATGGTGAGAGGCAAGCACAAGAACATAAGCAGAAGAAACCAATACCACTTGACAATATTAAAATCCAGTTCTCCCACCACAACAATTCCTTGATACCCTAACATGCCATAAAAGCAAGATTCTGAACTAAAATTCATCTCATGAAGATGATAGAGGACTTTAAGGAGGACATTAAAAACTCCCTTAAAAAATATAGGAGAACATAGGTAAACAGGTAGAAGCCCTTAAAGAGGAAACACATAAATCCCTTAAAGAAATACAGGAAAATACAATCAAACAGGTGAAGGAATTGAACAAAACAGTCCAGGATCTAAAAATAGAAATAGAAATAATAAAGAAATCACAAAGGAAGCAACCCTGGAGATAAAAAAAAAAAACCCAGGAAAGTAAACAGGAGCCACAGATACAAGCATCACCAACAGATACAAGTGATAGAAGAGAGAATCTCAGGTGTAGAAGATAGCATAGAAGACATTGACACAACAGTCAAAGAAAATACAGAGTACAAAAAGCTCCTAACCTAAAACATCCAGGAAATCCAGGACACAATGAGAAGATCAAACCTAAGAATAGGTACAGAAGAGAGCAAAGATTCCCAATTCAAAGGGCCAGTAAATATCTTCAACAAAATCATAGAAGAAAACTTCCCTAACCTAAAGAAAGAGATTCCCATAAATGGACAAAAATGCCAAACAGATTGGACCAGAAAAGTAATTCCTCCTGTCACATAATAAAATACCAAATGCACAGAACAAAGAAAGAATATTAAAAGCAGTAAGGGAAAAAGGTCAAGTAACATATAAAGACAGACCTATCAGAATTACACCAAATATCTCAACAGAGACTCTAAAAGCCAGAAGATCTTGGCCAGATGTCAAACAGATCCCAAGAGAACATAAAGGCCAGCCCAAGCTACTATACCCAGCAAAACTCTCAATTACCATAGATGGAGAAACCAAGATATTCCAAGACAAACCAAATTTAAACAATATCTTTCCACTAAAACAACCCTACAAAGGATAATAGAGGGAAAAGTCCAACACAAAGAGGGAAACTACAACCAAGAAAAAACAAGAAATTACTCTTCTCACAACAAACCCAAAAGAAGAGAACCATACAAACATAATTCCACCTCTAACAACAAAAATAACAGGAAGCAACAATCATTGGCCTTTCCAATGGTTAGGGTTAGGGTTCAGGTTAGGGTTAGGGTTAGGGTTAGGGTTAGGGTTAGGGTTAGGGTTAGGGTTAGGGTCAACATCAATGGAGTCAGTTCCAGAATAAAAAGACAGACTAACAGACTGCGTATGTAAACAAGACCCAGCATTTTGCTCAGTACAGCAAATACACCTTGGTGTCCGAGACAGGCACTACCTCAGAGTAAAAGTCTGCAAAACAATTTTCTATACAAATGGTCCCAATAAACAGACTGGAGTATCCATTCTATTATCAAATAAAATCAACTTTCAACCAAAAGTTATCAAATGAGATGGAGATCACTTAATACTCATCTAAGGACAAAATCCACCAAGACGAACTGTTAATTTTGTACATCTATGCCCCAAATGTAAGGGCACCCACATTTATAAAAGTAACCGTACTAAAGCTCAAAGCACACATTGCACCTCACAAAATAATAGTTTGGGATTTCAACACCTTACTCTCAGCAATGGACAGATCATGGTAACAGACTAAACAAAGACACAATAAAGTGAACAAAAGTTTCATACCAAATGGATTTAACAGGTATCTACAGAACATTTCTCCCTAAACAAAAGAATAAACCTTTTTCTGAACACCTCAGGGCACCTTCTCTAAAACTGACCATATAATCGGACACAAAACAAGCCTCAACAGATAGATGAAGATTGAATTAATCCCATGTATTCTATCAGATCACCAGAGTCTAAGGCTGGTCTTCAATAGCAGCAAATCAACAGAAAGCCCACATACTCATGGAATATGAATAACTCTCTACTCAATAATAACTCGGTCATGGAACAAATAAAGAAAGAAATTAAAGACTTTCTAGAATTTAACGAAAATGGAGGCACAGCATATCCAAACTTATGGGTCACAATGAAAGCAGGGTAAGAGGAAAACTTATAACTCTGAGTGCCTTCATAAAAAATTGGAGAGATCATACACTAGCAGCTTAACAGCACATCAGAAAGCTCTAGAACAAAAAGAAGCAAATACACTCAAGTGGAGTAGACAGCAGGAAATAATCAAACTCAGGGCTGAAATCAACCAAATAGAAAGAAAGAGAATTATACAAAAAATCAGCAAAAGAAGGAGCTGGTTCTTTGAGAAAACCAACAAGATAGATAAACCCTTAGCCAAACTAACTAAAGGACATGGACACAGTATCCAAATTAATAAAATCAGAAATGAAACAGGAGATATAACAACAGAAACTGAGGAAATTTTAAAAAATCATAAAATCCTACTACAAAAGGCTATACTATAAAACTGGAAAAATCCAGATCAAATGGATAATTTTCTAGACAGATACCAGGTACCAAAGTTAAATCAGGATCAGATAAACCATCTAAAATGTCCCATATGCCGTAAGGACATAGAAGCAGTTATTAAAAGTCTCCCAACCCAAAAAAAAGCCCATGGCCAGATGGTTTTAGTGCAGAATTCCATCAGACCTTCAAAGAATACCTAATACCCATACTCTTCAAATTATTCCACAAAATAGAATCAGAAGGAACACTACTAAATTTCGTCTATACCTAAACCACACAAAGACCCAGCAAAGAAAGAGAACTTCAGAATGATTTCCCTTATGGATACCGATGTGAAAATACTCAGTAAAATTCTCACAAACTGAATCCAAGAGAATCAAAACAATTATTCACCACGATCAAGTAGGCTTTATCCCAGGGATGCAGGAATGGTTCAATATATGGAAATCCACCAATGTAATCCACTACATAAACAAACTCAAAGAAAAAAATCACATGATCATCTCACTAGATACTGAAAAAGCCTTTGACAAAATACAACATCCCTTCATGTTAAAAGTCTTGGAAAGAACAGGAACTCAAAGTACATATTTAAACATAATGAAAGCAAACAATATACAGTAAACCAATAGCCAACTTCAAATTAAGTGAAGAGAAACTTGAAGCAACCCCACTAAAATCAGGGACAAGATTTATTCAATATAGTACGTTAAGTTCTAGCCAGAGCAATTAGACAACAAAAGGAGGTCAAAGGGATACAAATAGCAAAGGAAGAAGTCAAGATATTACTGTTTGAAGCTGATATGATAATATATATGATCTCCCCCCCAAAAAAAATTCTACCAGAGAGCTTCTACCACTGATAAGCAACTTCAGCTGCCAATAGGACAAACCAATAACCTACAGATTAGGAAAAAATCTTTACCAACCCTACATCTGATAGATGACTAGTATCCAAAATATACAAAGATCTCAAGAAGTTAGACTCCAGAGAACCAAGCAACCGTATTTAAAAATGGTGTACAGAGCTAAACAAAGAATTCTCAACTGTGGAATCTCAAATGGCCAAGAAGCACCTAAAGAAAGGTTCATCATTTTTAGTCATTATGAAAATGCAACTCAAAACGACCCTGAGATTCCACCTCACTCCAATCAAAATGGCTAAGATCAAAAACTCAGATGCAGTTGGGGATATGGAGAAAGAGGACCACTCCTCCATTGCTGGTGGGATTTCAAGCTAGTACAATCACTTTGAAAAACAATCTGGCTGTTCCTCAGAAAACTGGAAATAGTTCTATCTGAAGACCCAGCTATACTACGACTCTGAATATACCCAAATGATGCTCCAAAATATAACAAGGACACGTACTCCATTATGTTCATAGTAGCCTTATTTATAATAGCCAGAAGCTGGAAACAACCCTGATGTCTCTCCATGGAGGAATGGATACAGAAAATGTGGTACATTTACACAATGGAGTACTACTCAGCTATTAAAAATGATGACCTCATGAATTTTGCAGGCAAATGGGTGGAACTAGAAAATATCATCTTGAGTGAGGTAACCCAGACCCAAAAGAACACATATGGTATGTGCTCACTGATAAGGGAGTATTAGCCCAAAAGCTCAGAATACCCACAATACAACTCACAGACCATATGAAGCTTAGCAAGAAGGAAAACCAAAATGTGGATGCTTTGATCCTACGTAGAAGGTAGAACAAAATAATCATGGGAGGTAGAGGGAGGAAAGGACCTGGGAGGGAGAAAGGAGAGCCTGAGCAAAAGGTGGGGCAAGAACAGGTATGGGGAGAGACAGGAGAGAGGTCTAGAGGGTCAGGAGAATGAATAAAAATATGTAGCAGTGGGGTTGGGGAGTGGGGGAACCACTAGAAAGTCCCAGATGCCAGGGAAGTAAGAGGTACCCAGGACCCAATGGGGATGACATTAGTTGAAATACCTAGCAGAGGGGAGATAGAAGAAGAGAGCACCGCCAGTAGACAGGCATGACCCCCAGTTGAAGGACTGAACCTGGGGGCCCCAATGGAAGAGTTAGAAGAAGGACTGAAAGAGGTGAAGGGGATTACAACGCCATAGGAAGAACAACAATATCATCTAACTGGGCCCTTCAGAGCTCCCAGGGACTAAACTACCAACTAAACAATACACAAGGAGGAACCCATGGCTCCAGCTGCAAATGCAGCAGAGGTTGGCCTTGTCTGGCATCAGTGAGAGGGGAGGCCCTTGGTCCTGTGAAGGCTTAATGCCCCAGCATAGGGAAACATATGGTGGTGAGGCAGGAGTGGATGGGTAGGTGGAAGAGTACCCTTATAGAAGCAAAGGAGAGGGGGGATGGGATGTGGGTTTGAGGAGGGAAAACTGGGAAGGGGGACAACATTTGGAATGTAAATAAATAAAATAACCAATTAATAATAATAAGAAAAAGAAGTCTGAGGTCAGATACAGGTAGGAGTTACTTCCTTACCACATTCAATGTTCTATTCATAAAGCTCACCTCACACAGGTTGTCTCATGAGGGGACATCACAGCTTTCTAGGAGCCCTGAAAATACTTCGGTGCTACACTAGAGGGCTCTTTGTAACTGTGAAACCACTTAGAAAGGCACAGAAGTGTGAAAAACCCAGTTCAGAGTAGACTGTGTGAAAGATGTTTGTTTACAGTGTGAAGCTGGAACAAGAAAGCAAAACCCATCTCCAGTCCAAGGGCAGCTTGGAGAGGCTCGTGTGGACAACCTTTATTTTCTGCCTCTCTGTAGGCATCTGGAAGTGCTACAATAGCACCTTGAATATTGATTTTGAGTTACATATAAGAGTTTTCAAGCAGATGAATGCACAAGCACTGAACCTGTGTATGATTAGGAATGGTGGATCAGTCTCACTGTGCAAATTCCTGCATTATAAAATGAATTGCTCAGCCTAGAAGCTACCATTGTGTATGAAGTTGAGTAAGTAGTGCATAGCTTGACCACCACAGACAGGTTCACACAAGAGAATATCACAGTAAATGAACCTGTTAAAAAATTGTTCAACCTCACTGGTGATCACCGGGGAGAAGTCAGCCTGGATTCTATAAAAACGAAGCTAATCTCATGGAGTCTTGGATAGAAGGACAATGATCATGTGGTGATACATCCCATCAAGACTTGTGGGGATGCAGGACAGCCATGAGAGCCTAGCTGTACCCAAGCTTCCTATTGTAGGCTAGCTCATGCCCAGGACTGTCCATGAACAAGGCCAATACATTTCTGAGCCAGTCTATGGCCTTTGGAACCCTTCTCAACTGGGCCCGTGACCCACTCCCTGCTCACTCCATTCTAGCTTATATCAACGTTATCCCACTCAGTTATCTGGCATGGTTTTTGCTTGTTTGTTTAGGTCTTGTTTTCCATACTTACTGACATAGCATAAGTTTTATTCTATGTGTCTCATTTTTTTGTTAAGCTCATTTTTTGTAAAATAAGGTACATTATAAAATGAGAGGTTCATGAAATTCCTAGCTGGTTATTGCTAGGAGAGTGAAGAGCTGTCAATTTTATGCAAATTTCTTTCATGTTCCACCATCAATCAAAGCCTTAATTCTAGTGTTTTCTGCTAAGTTCCTCTGGTTTCCTAAGGGGTTATACCAGTTGCAGATGCAAGTGATTTCATCTTCTCTTCCTCAGCATTTTAATTTTGTTTTTTATTACATTTGCGAGAACTCCCCCCAAATATTTAATAAGGGTAATGTCTGACATCTCATTTTCAATTATGTTCCTATAAATAAAAGTTATTCTTGTTGATGTGCACAGTCATGTGTAAAGCAAATCTATAGCAAAAGGAAGGAGGCATCTTCTCGTACAGATTGCTTGCTGAATTATTAAAGCAATCCTGTTTACAGTTGGCAATAACCATTAACTTAGAAGATGAGCATCCCTGATTTGCCAGCTTAATAGGGAGCAAGGGGAGACTCTTTGCCTATGATCACATCCATGAAATTATAACATGCACATTCCTTTCCCAGAATCGTCACCAGTCAGTTTCTGAGTTCATGAGTGCACAGACCAAGCTGAAAACTACATAATGCTATCTAGAGGACTAACCATTAATACAAATCATTTAAATGTCTTTAGTGTTGTACAACCCTTGCAATTCCCTCTGTTTATCTTGTCCCCACAAATGTTATGCTGAGAGAATGAAGGACAGGCTCTTTCTGCGATGCAGTGAAGTAAGTCACAGTATCAAGTCCCACATGCAGTTGGACAAGGCCGCGGTCTCTCTGTCTGTTTCAGCTCCTATCAAAGCCCAGAACTTTCTATTTTCTTTCACCCTGACCAGCATGTGCACACTTGCTGATGAACAACGATGCCCCTGAGACGAATGAGAGCAGGCTATCAAAATGATGACTTGTGGGGTTGAAAAAAAAGCTCAGTAGGTAAAGTTCTTGCCTTGCAAACATGAGGATGTCAGTCTGAGTTTCAAATCCCTCATTTAAATAGCCCAGTGTGGTGGCATGTACCTTTGTCCCAGCACTGGGAAAGAGACAGAAGTGGGGCTCGATGGATAGCCAGTACTTTACTTGGCAAGTTTCAGGCCAGTCGAGAGAGAACTATCTCAAACAAGGGGAGGGGGCACTGGAGAAATGGCTAAATGGTTAAGGGTACAGGGTTCTTCCAGAGGACAAGGGTTCAATTCTCAGCACCCTGGCACCCTGGCACCCTGACAATTCACAAACAGCTGGAACTTCAGTTTCACAGGATTCAATGTCTTCTAGACTTCATAAACACCAGGCATGAATGCGGCATACAGACATAGACGCAGACAAAACCATACACATACAAATAAATAAATAAATACTACAGTTTTTTAGAAAACATTTGGACAGTGTCTAGAGACTAACACCTTGAGTTTCCTCTGCCCTCCATACTGATGTGTAGTTGTCCCCAAAACACATGGGCATCTGCACACATATTATATGAGTATGTATAGATACACAAAAAATATAGTTTACATCAGGAGTGGTGGGAATACACCTCTAATTTCAGCACTGGATAGGTAAAAGAAAATGGTTGGCTAGTTAAGAGGCTAGCCACACAGTGAATTCAAGGTCAGTTTGGGCTACATAGCGAGATAGAGACTCAAAAAGCAAAGCAAGACAACAGAACAAAATGTAATAATTATTTGGAGGTTAATGACAGGGGAAACCTTACTATTTAGTGCAGGCGAACGGAAGAATGAGAAATTTCATCTATAGCATAAATCTGGTTTCACCCACACTGAAGTGCAAATAGCACTCTCAGGGCAATTACTCAAACAGAATCTTCTAATACCTTTACTTGCAAGAGCAATTATTTCAGTGGCCACTACATGGCGCTGTTGCCTCTTAGTTCTCTATAAACTTAAAGGCTGTAAAAAGTAATTTAATCTTTACTCTCTTCCCATTCTTGCCCTCCATAAGGGCTTTAGCATTAAATCTTCTGCTGGGCCTCACGAATGGTCCAAGCACTGAGAATTAGTAGCTGCTGAGTTCTCAGTCTGTGTATCTCCTCCTCCAAGGCTCAGGGAATATTACAGAAGAGGAAGTCGGAAGAACGTAAAAGCAAGAGAATGAGATGGAGGGGGTGGACCACCATCTTCCAGTCTCAACACCTGTGACTACCTGCACAAGAGACCTGTTCAAGACTGGCACACCAGCATTTTGTCACCAGGGGAAGAGAGGTTCTTGAGAGCCCATGCCTTTCTGAAGATTTATATTCAGTTAAAGGGTGCTGGGGGTTGAGAGAAAAAGAGACAGGCATGAGACATGAAAGGAGAAAGATATGAAAGTAGAAAGAGGACTCTGGAAAAGGAAAGGGGCATCAGGAACAAAAGGGGGCAAGAGAAGGTAATACAGTGACTAATGATAAATATATATAAATGTAGGAAAATGCTCCAATAATCTGATTATGTATAATTAATACACAGCAATAAAAATACACTTAAAAGAAAGAAAACCTGTTGCTATAATCTATGCTGGCTTTGGCACCAGCACCCACCCACACCATGCACCTGGCCTGCCTGTGGTTAGCTGAGTTCCTTGAAGCCAGCTGGTCCAGCAGCCACTCTCTCCCCACGGCTCCTGCCCTCTGGCGTCTCTGGGGCAGGTTGTTTCTGAGGCTCCTGAAGAGGAGTTTTGTATTCTCTGTTGCTGACATCTGTAGGAATGAACAATATTGAAAGGGGCCCTGAGGGGTAGACAAGATGGCTCAGTGGGTAACCTGGCCACCCAAGTTTGACCCTCTATCAGTATGGTGAAAAGAGAAAACTGGTGCCCACAAATTTGCCCTCTGATGTCCATGTGTCAGCTGTTAGCACACATGTACACCTGCACACAAATGAGTGAAAGTGAAAAATGTAAAGGGCACCAGATCAGTTTAAGCCTGATTTTTCCTTATCCGTGGTGACATAGTGTATGATCAAAGCTTTGGTAACTATGTCTTCTGTTGTTGATGATTAGGAAAAATGATCTTCCTTGCTCCTAGGATTTCTTCATACTCTTCATGTATAAACCTGTGTGCAGCACAAGTCTCCATGCTGAATTTCCCAACTGCTTCAATAAGTAACTGCTTCTTAAAGAGACTGGGGATTCCAAAAGCTGTAAGAAGGGACCACATCGGACTGAGTTTATGGTTGCTAACATTTGGAGATGTGGGTTCTTTTAAGACTAAGATGATGACTTGTGGATTCATCTCTAGGAACACCCTCCCCTGTTTGCTACTGTATACAATTTCAGTAGGTAGTGGACCTACTGGAACCCACCCACCCCACCCACCTAAGCAATTTCTGGGAAAAGAAATAACGATATTCAATGAAGTTTCCAGCTCTTAAGAATTAAAGTCTATTAACAAGTTGACCACACGATGTCACTATAATACCACTAAGTCTCAGGCTTCCAGGACTGGAAAGGTATTGAGAGGCAATGAACCAGAACTAAGCTGGAGCAGTTTAGCAAGGCTATGCTCCAGAGAAAAGTATTTGGAAAACTTCAGGCGCCTGTGCTTTCTGGGTGGACCTTGATCTTGAAGAAAGAATTGGAAAGAACCAGAAAGTGCTTTTGGTGAAGGCAACCCAACTGCAGCCTTCAGTACAATGATGTTTGAGAGGAATTTTGTTGTACAGATTCACCCAAAATCAGTGGTTAAGAAGACAATGTTTTCTCACTCCTCAGATGCTCCAGTTGCCACCCACCCCCATAAGAATAGCAAAATGTTTTTGCTTTATTTTTTCTTTTGTCTTAGAATTAAATGCACTTGTTGGTTACTAAGGATTTTCTTTAAAAGAATTGAGTCCCGAAGTTTTGCTTTTTCAGCAAAAAATCCTAGATAAGTTTTTTTTTCTTTTTATCTTAAAGGGAAAGGAAAAGATACTTGAAATTTAGGATCAGGGAAAGTCAAATTAAAACCTTTCCAAAAGAGGACCACGGCCAGAAGCTTTGCTGTGTCGTTTCCACCAAATCAACACCCTTCTTCATCCATTCCAGTTGCTAATGCCTGCCCCTTCTAACTTTGACAGACGCTTCCTAGTGGACGGCATGAGATCAGTGGTCAGACTGTAGCCCATTATGCCTGTTCTTGTTCCCCAAAGCATTTATAAAAACTTGAGGTGTAAACAAAGCACATTTATGTTTAATCTCATGGCATGAGTCAATCATAAAAAACAATGAAAGTCATTATGACTTTTCCCCACAGTATATACTACTATTCAGTCAGAGTCCTGTTAAACTGAGAAAAGTTGAAAGCTGGACCAGCCCTTTCCAGTGCCTTAAGTGTTAACTGACAGAAGGAAAGACTGTTTTTTTCCTTTTTTTTTTTTTTTTTTTGTTGTTGTTTTTTCAAGACAGGGTTTCTCTGTGTAGCCCTGGCTGTCCTGGAACTCACTCTGTAGACCAGGCTGGCCTCGAACTCAGAAATCCACCTGCCTCTGCCTCCCAAGTTCTGGGACTAAAGACTTGTGCCACCATTGCCTGGCAGGAAAGACTTTTTAATGGTTATTTATTTATTTACATTTCAAATGTTGTCCCCTTCCCTTTGCAAACACCCATCCCATCCCCATCCTCTTTGCCTCTAAAAGGGTGCTCACACACCTAACCACTCCCGCCTCAACCCTCTAGTATCCCCCTACACTGGGACATCTAGCCTCCACAGGACCAAGGGCCACCCCTCCCACTGATGTCAGACAAGGCCATCCTCTGCTACACGTGTAGCTGGAGCCATGGACCCATCCTTGTGTATTCTTTGGTTGGTGATTTAGTCCCTAGGATCTCTGAGGGGTCTGGTTGGTTGATATTGTTGTTCTTCCTATGGGGTCGCAACCCCCTTAAGCTAAAAAGAAAAGATTTCTAAATGAAACGTCTTGTGAGGAAGGGGGCAGTGAAATTTTTTTCCACACTGCCTTAGATGTTACCTGGACACAGTCCTCCATCACAGTGTGTGACTTCTGGTGGGATTTTTTGTGGAGCCCAGTTAAGAAACACAGCTCACAGATGTCAAAGTCGAGGCACTTTAGACAGCGGTATCTGCCAATTGAGATGAAAGTACAGCTTACATTACATTACATTACTTAGGAGAGCAAACAGGTGATATTCAAGTAGAGAATGAGAACCCAAGAACATATGGGGGCTGCCTTCTTGGCCTTGCAAAATTTTTGCATAGCTTCAAAAATTAATCAGCACACTTTAAGTGGGAAGGCATTCCCCTTTCCAACACAGGGTACAAGATGGAAAAGACAAGGGTCTTTAATAAGAATTATTGGATGAACCATCCAACATTGTAGACAGTTACAGAGAATTGTCTGAACAGTATGCTAATTATCCCCAAATGTGTTGCTTCATGTTTTGAAATCATCTTCAGAGTCACAAGAAAGACAGCTGACTTTGACTATTTGTGTTTATTGTCTTGCTTGTTCCTTGATTATTTGCATCTATTGTATTGCTAGTTCCTCAGCCTAGAACTGACCTTAATACTTGCATGTAATTAAAATGGAATAAAAGCAAAAAGGAGGAGGGGGTTGGGATAGGGGGTTCTAGAGAGGGGAAATGGGGAAAGGGGATGACATCTGTATTGTAAATAAATAAAATATCCAATAAAAAATTAAAAATTAAAATCAAACAAAAAAAGAAAGACAGCTGAGTGGATAATACAACTGGTTTGTTTGTTGATAATTTTAGCAAAGATTTTCCTATCATCTCATCTCAGTTTTTTTTTTTTTTTTTGTGGTTTTTCGAGACAGGGTTTCTCTGTGTAGCTCTGGCTGTCCTGGAACTCACTCTGTAGACCAGGCTGGCCTCTAACTCAGAAATCTGCCTGCCTCTGCCTCCCAAGTGCTGGGATTAAAGGCGTGCGCCACCACCGCCTGGCTCATCTCAGTCTTATATGACTTATTTTTATAGAACATAAATGATAACTCATCTATCTAGAACTTAATTCTTGTAGTAGGGACACTTGATCATTAAACCTCGTCTTTCTCATCCATCCCTCCCTCCTTCCCTTTCTCCCTCCCTTCTTCCACACCATGGAGGCTATAGGCTGGTGTTGGATGTCTTCTCCAATAGCTCTTCCATGTTATTTTCTGAGATGTGGTCTCTCATTGAGTCTGAAGCTGACCCATTTGTCTAGACTGGCCACCAATCCCCAGGGGTCCTCCTGACTCTGTTTCTAGTCTTGCTTTCTCCCATAGCTTCTGAGGAATAGAACTCAGTTCCCACACTTGCAGTGCAAACGTTTTACCCATTGAGCCATATCCCAGCCTCCTTTTCTTCCTATAGGGGAGTGAACCTTTCTTCCTGTGCCTTCTGAGCACCATGGTGACTTATGCTCTGTGATTGGTTCTTCACTAATTTTGTTGGAACTAAAGCAGTAGCTGAAGCTTTGAAAACCAAGGTCACAAGTTTAAGGCTAAGGCTGCAATGGATCTAGACAAGTATAAGAGACTTCTCTAAAAGGAGCCGCAGGCGTTCCTGGAGCCAGCCCTCCTTAGTTCACTGACAATCTTTCTAAGTTTAACTTCATTTTAACAAACAAAGGCATGTTATACAGAAGTCTGACACATTTCATGCTATGTGTTGCTATTTTCCTGGTGGCCTGAGCAAGTCACTTAAAGTCACATAAAAAACATGATACCCAATGTTAGAAAATAATGATTTTGAGGGGGAAATTTTTTCAGTGTAAAAAGTTGTACTTTATGTAATTTTAAATTAATTTTCTAACTGGCTTAGACATAAAATGGTTATATAAAGTACACCTTTCTGTGGTTTAATGGTTAAATTAACTGTAATACATGCATTGTGATAAATTGTGTTCATATTTCTATACTGTTTATCATAAGAAAAGATTACTTTTCAGTATAAAGATTTCTTTCATCCTGCATGTTTATTTTCCCATTGAGTTGGTTCATTGTTTCAAGTTATTATATGCAAAGAGATTTTATGGGTCAAATTTTGCTGCCTCCTCCAAATCCCCTACTGGCTTCTACTAGTAAACTAAATCTAGCTTCTTAGTAAAATTAAAACTTGATTTGGAGATTTCTAGTGGGTCCAGCAGATCTGTTTTAGCCCATAAGAAATGAATTTCATGCCTAAACTAGTGAAGATCAGGAAATACAAGAATAGAATGGGATCAAATGAGCCAATGAGAAGCCCTGGGGCTCTGACCTCTTCCCTTCCAGGCTTCTTGTGACTTGGTCGCTACTGAAGTCTGGGAGTTTCAGCCCTTGCATAGCAGCACACGTGTGTCCATAATCATGACTCATGGCCTGCTCATGTTTCGTCTAGGTTTCTCACTTCCTTCTCTTCAAAACCTATATCCCAATCCCCCCTCCCCCTCCCTCCTCTCCCTCTCCTTCTCCCTCTCCCTCTCCCCCTCCCCCTCTCCCCTCCCCCTCTCTCTCTCCCCCTCCCCCTTCCCCCTCCCCCCTCTCTCTCTCTTCCTCCTCCTCCTCTTCCTCCTCTTCCTCCTTATTCTCTCTCCCTCCCTCCTCTCTTCTTCCTTCCTTCCTTCCTTCCTTCCTTTCTTTCTTTCTTTCTTTCTTTCTTTCTTTCTTTCTTTCTTTCTTTCTTTCTTTCTTTCTTTCTGTCTTCTTTTCCTGCTTTTCCAGATACTGTTTCTCTGTGCATCCCTGGCTGTTTTAGAACTCACTCTGTAGACAAGGCTAGTCTGCCCCTGTCTCCCTAGTGCTTAGACTAAAGGCATGAGCCACCCCCCCAGCCATGATATCTCATTTACTTTGTTTGTTTGAGACAGAGTCTCTCTGTGAAGCTCTGTTTTTCTTGAAACTTACAATATGAACCAGGCTGGCATCCAGAGTTTCCCTCTGCCTCCCAAGTTCTGGGATCGAAGGTGTATATCATCACACCCCTAAAAAGGGTGTTAAAAGTCAAGGAGGAGTCAGAAGTTCTCATCTGTAAACCTAGCTTTCACATGTGTCCATGTCTCAGCAGATCTGTTCTAAATTGATGCTTCCTTTGAATCTCACACCTTCTTCTCATGGGGGCAAGGCAGGGAATCTGGATTTAGACCTCTAGTCTCTATTACTTGCTAACCATGTAATTTTTTTTTTATAATTTACTTTTTCTGAAAACGTAATTCATTCACACAGGGGTATAAACACAGAAAGGCAGGATGTGGGGAAGGGAATGACACTAGAGTGTGGGTGATCAGAAGGAATACAGATATCATCAGAACCTGGTATCGGCTGGGTGAAGGTTCAGGGGACAAGTCACTATGACTCTGCCTATGTCTCACTTGTCCTTATCTAAGTTGGTATTGTCTGCCCAGGCTACCTATTTACAAGGTCTATGACTACTCAGGCTGGTAAATTTCCACAAAAGCTGCCTGTTTACATTAGCTTATAGTCATCTGTTTCAGTGTTTTTCCACAGAGACCCAAGACTTGGTGTTAGTATACATGTATGACAGGCCTATTGCTGATTTTAGGCCTATGGCTGATTTTAGGCCTTCAGTGGGTAAGCAGGGCTTCCCCTGACATCTCCTCCCTTCTCTAAGTATAGAAGGGCTGTGGCAATTTTAAACTTGTGAAGGGGGGGATAGAACCTGACCTCCAGTATTTGAAGGGGACCTTGTAATGGCTCCGGTCCCCCTGTCGTTGTCCAGTGAGGCATGAGGGCCATACCCGTCCCGATGTCTTTTTCCTGGAGAGGGGATACTTTTGACATCAACCCCTATGCAGTCAGGCTTGTCCCTCAGGGAACCCAGAGAGATATTTTTATCTTTTATTTATATTCCCTTGCAGTGCTTAGCCTCGAAGCCTAAGCAAGAATTCAGATCGCCTGACAGAGGGGTCTAGGGGCAGAAGTTCCCCCTTTTAGGTTGGGTGGAGATGAGTTTTGGAAACACCCTGTATAAAGTAACAACCTCATCTTGAGTCTCGTGCTAACCATGTAATTTAATGTTTCTGGAAGTTGGAGATAATAGTGTAGCCTTTTGTAAAGCTTGTACCACATTTTAAGAGACGTGACCCCTGTGAACTGCTTAGCTTAACTTTTTTTTCACACCTAACAAACCATTCTTGTTTGTTAAACACTCCAAAGTAAAAGGTTTATTTGGAACAAAAGATGCCTGTTTTATACCTTGGTTCTCAACCTTCCTAATGCTGCAACCTTTTAATATAGTTCCTCATGTTGTTGTGACCCCCTCAAAGATAAATTTATTTTTGTTGCTCCTTTATAACTGCAATTTTGCTGTTATGAATGATAATGTAAATATCATATGCAGGATATCTGATATTTGACCTCTGTGAAAGGGTTGTTTGACCCCAGAGGGATCTCAACCCAAAAGTGAAGAACCACTGCTTTAGAAGAAAAGCTGTTTATGAGCCAGAGAAAAAACGTAATATTTCACCAATTATAGGAAATACATTTATTTATCTGCGTTCAACCAGGCTGCCTCAGACAGGGAATTAATGAGCTAAAGGCAAGAAAATTCCAGATGTATAGAAAGGACCCCAGAGAGAGCCTGTTGCTATGCAGCTCCACCGTTGGGCCCATTTGTCAAGTGACCATTTGGAAAACATGATATTGATAGTACCTCAGTCCTGTGATTGGGAAGGTTCGGCAGACACTACACCGCACAGGGTGAGTGACTGTTTCTGAGGCTGACAGTCGGTAACAGGTTGGGAGCCACAGGAGGACAGGAGGCTCAGACTGTGCCCAAGACAGGAATTTCTCCTCCTTGATTCCAGAGCTCAACACCTGGGAAGCAAGAGCAGGCAGAAACACTCATTCAGGGGGATCTGCCCTCTTTCTCCCCTCTGTTCCCGCGTCTCTTTTTCTAAAGATATCTGAAATCTAGAGACAAGGCTGCCTCTAAACTCAGGTCATCCTGGAATTGAGTGACATTTAACTTAAGCAAAGTCTTCAAACATCTGCACCAGCTCCCAGAGACATCCATGCTACTCACCCCTCGGAAGCAGCTGTGGATAGCACTTTCCACGGGACACAAAGTGCAGCTCTCTCCCACAACAGTTGGGATCTGCAAAGGCAACCTTGTGTTAGCTTGTGTGAGTGAGGGACAGATAACAGGAGGAAGGCATCCAGGAAGGGAAGAGGTCTATTGTCTGAATTCTTAGGATCCCAGGCAGGTTATTTTAATCTTTCCTTCCCACCTATCCCCTGACCCCCACCCCAAAGAGGTCTCAGTGACACTGCATTCAAGTTTTCAATGGCTTTAAGAAAAAAACATGTCAAGTGTTTTCATATCATTTCATTTAATTACATGTCAATTCCATGATTTGTTTTGTTCCTATGTTGAAATATCTGACATAAAGAACTTCAAAAGAGGAAAGTTTGTGGTTGATTGTGGTTTCAGTCTGTGGATTCTGAGCTGTGGCAAGAAGGAACATCAAAACAGAAGACTGTGGCAAGACAGACCTCATAGTGACCAAGGGGCATAGGGACTAGAGGTCCAGGGAAATACCCTGTTGACCTAGCTCTTTAACTAGGCCCCAAAGAAAGTTTCTACCAATAGACCATTCAAAGTCTGTCTCCCTCTACAGATTAAGACATTGGTTAGATTGAAACAGATGGCTATAAGCTAATGTAAACAGTCAGCTTTTGTGGAAATTTACCAGCCTGAGTAGTCATAGACCTTGTAATAGGTAGCCTGGGCAGACAATACCAACTTAGATAAGGACAAGCGAGTCATAGGCAGAGTCATAGTGACTTGTCCCCTGAACCTTCACCCAGCTGATACCCGGTTCTGAAGATATCTGTATTCCCCCGATCACCCACACTCCAGTGTCATTCCCTTCCCCACATCCTGCCTTTCTGTGTTTATAACTCCTGTGTGAATGAATTACGATTTGAGAAAAAATAAGTTATATAAAAAACAAACAAACAAACAAACAAAGACATTGGTTAGATCAGAGTCTTCATGATCCAGTTACTTCTCAATTATAGGATCATGAAGGATCATCAATTATGGTTGGGAGCTTTTGATTCAGGAGTCTCTTTGGGTGCACTTTATAGGCAAACCATAACTCTAGTCTTTGAAGTGGTAATCATTGTCTTTGAGAGGAAGGACAGGTAGGAAAGGAAATCACTATGTCAAGAAGAGGTATCTACGTGTTCACTGCATTACTCATGGCATCCAAGATATAAAGACTACCTAGGTGTTTGTTGACATTAATGAATGCTATTCTACTTTTAAAAATCATAAATCCTGTCATTTGCTATAGCATGGATGAGCCTGGAAAATATATGCAAGTAAAATCAAAATTAGCCATACACAGAAATACTGCATAATCTCTCATACATGGGGAATCTAAAAAAAAAAAAAAGCTGAATTTGTAAAAACAGAGAGTAGAATGCGGCTTCTTTGAGATGGGCTGGAGTGAGAAAATTAGGGAGATGTTGCTCAAATCATATAAACTTAAAATTTATGATGAGTGGGTTCTGAAGACCTAACACTCAGCACAGTAACATGGTACTGATGTCATTTTGTTCTCTTGATATTTGATATGAGATCAGGTTTTGGGTACCCTCATCTTCCAATCATGTACTCACACTGAGAGGAGCCCTAAAAAATAAAATCCTTGAGAATGGAGAAGTTTTGGTTTCCCAGGGAAGCAGATTGGGCTCTTCAGCAGGAACAACTGAAGATGGCTGTTAATCTTTGATGGCTCTGTGAGCTAGGAGCTGAGTTGGATTCTGGGCCTCACCAAATATAGTAAAACTAACATAGCAGCCAATCAGAAACAGACCTATGCAACTTCCCCAGCACTAATGAAGGTTTAGATTACTTAACCCTAGCTAGTAGTCCCCTACCTTTCTATAAAAGGCCTGCACACCTTTGTCTGGGGTCACCATTTTGATAAATGGTTGACCCCTGCATGCTGATAATTTCTGCAGAATAAATGTTTTTTGCATTTTATTTGAGTCTGGCGTCTTCCTTCAGTAATTCTTGGACCCTAACAATAAACAAATAGTGACTGTGGGTATGATGGGTGTGCAAGTGACAACTGTGGTGACCATTACACAGTGTGTGCCTGTGTTGCCTGAGATACACAATGCTGTATCAGACCTCCCTCCCTTCTTCCTTCCTTCCCTCCCCCTTCCCTTTTCTTTGTTTTACTTTCCTTTCTGTATTTTTTCTTTTGAAATAAGATCTTGCAGTCTGACCTCAAATTCCTGAGCTGGAATAATCATCCCACTGCCCTATCTCCAGAGTCCCTAGAACCATTGGAATGTGTACACCACACTGCACAGCTTTTATACATATAATTTTTGTTAAATGTTTTTAAAAGTAAATAGATCAAGGGATCACTGAGAGATAACATTTTGCTCAAAATAAAAAATAAAAAGCAAGCTTATTGTGAGATTGGGGAGTCACTCTAGAAGTTCTCCCTCTTTGTTAAGGAGACAAAATTTGTTAGATTCTATTTATTTCTCCTTTTTGATTTTGTAGATAGTCCAGTGGCTTGATTGTTCATGTTTTCTTCCTGTCAACCACAGTCACCACAGGGGTATTAACTAAGGGACTAAGAACCTCTTGTGATTTCCAAGATGGTGATGCATCTGGCTCTGGTTTCTGTGCACACAGACATGTGCACCCGTCACCTTTGTTTATTCCCATTTGGACAAGAGTCCCAGTTTCACATCTGACATCTTACCCAGCACAGGCTGTCAGCCACACTGCCTGCAATCTCAGAAGTAACTGCAAAGACCCCCCGTGGAGCCCATCAACTCAGATAAACATCCTCCTAATCAGGAAAGTGGCACTTAGAACCACTTTGCTGACAATTAGCCAGACAAAAGTCAACAAACATTTGCTTACTAGTAACAAGATGGCTTGTATTTTAAATTGTTAATAACCCTGTCATCAGTAGAGCATAAGCAGCTACTCCCTATGTTATTTAGTCAAAAACCACAGCAGCAGCAGCAGCAGCAGCAGCCGCCCAAGGACTTTGTTCCCATTTTTTTTGCCTTCTGAGTACTGATGAACTAGCTAACTGGGCCACTCATTAAGAGCATTGCTGATCCAACATTCTTCTCACTCTGGTGTCCTTACAGCTAATGAAAAAGAGGGTCTCAGTTTGTATGTAAAACACGAGTGTTGGAAGACTGAGATTATCAGCTCTGTTATTCTGACAGTGTAGTTGGGATTCCTACTGTAGTGGAATTTAACCTGACGTTTCCCCTTTAAATATCTACATAAAGATTTTTATGTGGATGAATTGCCTATTTGGCTAATTTCTTGCAGGTGTTTTGTGGAGAAGAATTAAATGTGACTAGGTGGCACACTGGCATGGGCAGGATAGGACTCTGAACAATAATTAGCATTCCTAGGGGATGACTTGAATCACATTTCAAGGACTGAAATTTTCTATCAGAATCTGTCTTGGATCCCGTAATGGAAGCCAATGGGATGATAATTTGCTATGCAAATCGAAAGCTCCTTCCCACTGGTGCTCTCAGAAGCTTGGCACTGCATGGTCAGAGGAAGGAGAGGTGGTGGGAGCCAGCTCAGCAGCTCATTGACCTTGATTAGATTTGAAACCAGTGGATTTTTAAAATCCTTTGAGACTAGAACTAACTTGAAGCCATGAGTGGTAGTCAGGAAGTCACAAAGACTTCTAGAGGAGAGAGGAAATGCCCCTCTGGCCAGTTCCTTTCATCAAATCCACTTTGAAACTGGCTACTGTTATCAGTCTGGTGGAACAAGTGTAGGAGCAGATTAAGCCTCCCCTGGCTTTCTACTTGCATGAGTTCTTGAGACATGAAGTTGTTAAGGATGAAAATCTGCAACAGTGGTTGCCGGAGACATGCCTCGGACAGCAGAACATCTGCAGTAAGATCTGTGTGCTGCTGCAACCACTGGAAGAGCATTAAAGGATTAATGCCTATACCTGCCATTTTTTGAGTCAGGTTGAATGGAAGAGAAAAGCAAATTGCATAGCAGCTAGAAGCTGATGACTAGGCAGAACTGCATTAAACCAGGACATCATGGACATTGTCCCTCCCTCCGTATTATATTAGTTTGCTTTTCTTCTGCTGTGATAAGCACCATGTTCAAAGGCATCTTGTGAAGGACCAGTTTATGTGACTTACAGATCCCTGTTCACAGTCCTTTGTTGAGGAAAGTCAAGGAAGGAACTCAAACGGAAGCAGAGATGGGAAGCATGAAGGACCGCTGCTTACTGGATTGTTTCCCATGGCTTGATCAGCCTGCTTTCTTATATAATCCAGGACCACCTGCCTATGTGTGGTGCCATCTACAGTGGGCAGGGCCCTTTCACATTACTCATTAATTAAGAAGACAGTCTACAGATGTACCACAAGGTGGAGACATTTCCTCAATTAATGGTCTTTCTCATGAATCTAGTTATGTCAAGTTGATCTAGAGCTAACCAGCACGTTCTTCCTTTCTAATTTTTATTTTATTTTATTTTTTTTGGCTAAAAAGAAGACTTTGGAGGTTCTCATTCACTAGCTGCAAGATAGCCAAATCTGTTATGTGGTTCCCAGCAGAGAAGATGGAAGACAGCACACATCTGAATGATGAAGACCAGGCACACATCTGGATGATGAAGACCACACCCAGAGCATGGATCCCAGCCCATTGCCTCTCTGGACATTTCCTCTTTCCTTCCATAAAACCACACTAAATGTATGAGGCAGATTGAGTCAGAGAATCCCCTCAGCCTTCCTCAAAGCTGGCTTTGAATCTATTTCTTTCTAACTATCTCTCTGTCTCTCCTTGTCTCTCTACCTCTATCTCTGTCTCTCTCTTTTAAATTAGTAAGCAGTATGAACTTTAGAGTCCTGTAACAAAAGACAAAGGAAAACAAACAAAAGCCAGGAGATTTGTGAAGCCAGTTGGGACCAATATCAAGATATATGCTAAGTGTCCTTTGCTTACTTTAGCATTTCCGTATCGTTAGGTTTTCATAATCGACATTTCCCACTATGTATCTGATGTTTTGGCTCATTTGCACACTCTACACAGGAACAGAAGAGGAGTAGACTCTATGCTGGGAATACGTAGATTAATCCTGAAAAGTCTTCCTTTTATCCACCTTAGTTTATGAATTATTTTCTGTTTTATTGAGCTTTTCCATACAATGTGACCCTGTCCACATCTTGTCCCTGGAGTCTGCCATTGCTTTCCAATTAAAACTATTTTCTAATTCCTTTGACTCAGAGCTGAATCCTGTCTCTGGGGGTGAGAACATTCATGCCTTTCTACTGCTCCTGAGATCCTCCCTCCCCACCCCCAATACTCACTGCTAGCAACATTTTAACCTTACTAAAAAATTTAAGACCTGCTGTCAACTCTGGGCAGAAAAGATTCTGTTTGCAATGGTTGGCAGTCACTGCAGAGACCCATAGCTGGTCAAAGTGCAGAAAATAAATAGCTGTTGAGTGCCTGGCCATAAATAGGACATCTTTATTACCTCCTCCTCAAGGTTCAGGGAACAGCAGAAAGAATATAAGAGCCAGAGGGCATGGGGAGAGAAGCGGGGAATACTGATTTCTGGACATTGTGTGGCCATTGCTTTCAAACTCAGAGCAGCTACAGTCTCCTGCGCAAAGCCTATACAAGATCAAGTCTGTCGGTACCCTGTCACGAGGCTCCGCTCTTCTTGAAGGATGTATATGCAGTTAATGATTGATGGAAGAGAAAGAGACGTTTTCTTTAGTGGCGTAGCTATTGGTAAGGTATCCAAACTCTTATAATCAAAGTCTCACTTGATGCCCTTCCCAGTTTTGATGACTGTTTGTGTTGGCTGCAATGGTCCCAGGATTAAGACACCTCCCAGCAATGCAATGGCTATGGAATCCATGGGCTTAAGGACCATAACAGCAAGTCTGCCTAGATATTCTACACAGGTTTACTGTTAACAGATATTCTCAGACAAAGATAGACTCCAAAGACTGGAATAGCCACCGTGGTGGTTTGAATGAGAATGACCCTATAAGCTCATATTTGAATAATTGGTTTCTAGTTGGTAGAACTATTTAGGAAGAATTAGGAGGTGTGGTCTTGTGGGAAGAGGTGTGTCAAAGGAAGTGGGTAAGATTTGCAGTTTCAAAAGCCCACACCATTCCCAGCTAGCTCTCGCTGTCTCTAAGTCATGTTTATAGATCAGATGTAATCTGGATTAGATTCTGATGTAGATAAAATCTCATTTCATCCCTATTACAAGATCAAAGGTATCATAGGCTCCTTATTCTTATTCTTTCATCCCCATAATTTCAGTCTTATTTCCCCCGATTACTTAGGAGACCCTGACAATTACACTCCAGGCAGCTGACTCAACCTCACCCCATATTAAACCTAAGTAATATTTCCTATTTGCCTACAATATCCTTCCATTTCTCACCAACAAACTAGGTTTTTTGTTTTGTTTTGTTGGTTTTTTCGAGACAGGGTTTCTCAGTGTAGTCCTGGCTGTCCTGGAACTCACTCTGTAGACCAGGCTGGCCTCGAACTCAGAAATCCACCTACCTCTGCCTCCCGAGTGCTGGGATTAAAGGCGTGCGCCACCACGGCCCCGGCTACACCAACAAACTAGGAGGTGTGGTAGCTTAGTCCTCTCAGTTCTCACCCTGCCTTTCCTACCATCCCCCCACAACTCAGAACAATGCAGTCTTACATCCTGCCCGCTCACCTGACCCCTATACTGAGTCTTGGTAGATGGTCTGCTCATCCTCACAGGAGCTGGTGGGGAATCTGCAGAACTCCCATTCATCATTATTAGTCCATGAGACTCCACCATGTCTTGTTCTATTATCCTATTTTTAACACCTATTTCTAGCCTATTGAAAATAAAATGTTAAAATGGACTCAGTTTCAGACTAACTACTTCAGTGTTGTAAACTAAAAACCAAGGACTGATTTTATTAGGAGATCAAGGAAGAAGGTAGGCCCTCCACTGTCAACACCCAAAGCTGATATTTTTCCTCAAACTACACCTTGTTTAGTAGTTCTCAAGGTACTGTCCCAGCACCATGCCTCCCTGTCTGTTGCCACAATCCCCTCCACGATGGCTATGAACTCTGACCCTCTGAAACCATGAGCTCTCAACTTAAATGCTTTCTTTATAAGTTGCCTTGGTCATGGTGCTTTGTCAGAGCAGTAAAAAAAGTAACTAAGACAGCTAGCTACTTCTTTGATGTGCACACATCAAAATATGATCATAAGAATCAACAAGGAAGCTAATCAAACACTTGGATATCTATGTACATCTGGAAAGCAGTTGCTGTTTCCTCATGGGGGTAAAGTTGGAAGAACCAGAGACCTGTAGCTGTGGCCTCTGCCTGCACAACACTGGACAACTGTCTAAAGAGGGTTCTACTTACATATATTCTCTCTCTCTCTCTCTTTCTTTCTCTCTCTCTTTCTCTCTCTTCTTCTTCTTCTTCTTCTTCATCTTCTTCTTCCTCTTCTTCTTCCTCTCCTCCTCTTCCTCCTCTCTCTCTCTCTCTCTCTCTCTCTCTCTCTCTCTCTCTCTCTCTCTCTCCACCCACCCCGCTTCAGTACACAACATCCAGCACCCACATGTGCAAACCTCTGAGGTCTGTATAGCACTTTTCTGTGAGATTCAGTTTTAGAAGTTAGCTGTAATGTGCACCCATAACACCAGAATGAAAACCAAGACCACGTGCCCCTGAAACACCAAGTTTTGTGCCATCTATAAATTCATTCTAGTCTTCTAAATCTTTGACTTTTTTCCTTTTGGTTAGTTATGACATCATGAAGTTGCCTTTTTCTAATTAATGAAAAGCAGGCTTTTTTAAAAATGAGAGTCAGATTTTTTTGTTTGTTTGTTTTTAGAGACAAAGATTAGGTCAAACTACAAAGGCTTTGCTTGTGAAGCTGTGGAATATAGGCCTCTGCTGTAGATGGGAACGGACAATGAAGAACTTTGGAAATGGGAGTGTGTTATGGTTGGATCTTAAGTATCCTCAAAGGCATGTATTAGAGGCCTGGCTGAGCTTGGTGGCCTCAGAAAACAAATGAAGTGTTAAGAGTGGGGCCTCACTTGGGATAAGTCAGTGAAGGCTACTATTAGATTCTAGCCTTTTGCTTCCCCTTGGCCACCATGGGATGAGCAGCTTCCCTTACGATATGCTCCCGCTATGATGTTATCAACTTGCCACAGTCCAAAAGTAACAGAGAACTAGCCACAGGCTGAAATTTACAAAGCAGTAAGCCAAGATAAAATCTCTGTCTCTCAAGTTGACTGGTTCAGGTCTCCTGTACCAAAAAGCTGGCTCACACAAAGTGATACATTTTGGAGAGGTCCCTGGCTCAGTGCACTGAGAGAGAGAAGCAGACAGGGTTAGGATTGGGATCCATGAAGATGAATCGATACTGTCAGAACAACAACAGTAATAACAGGTTGATGTGGCTGACACCAACTGAGAATTCCTAAGTGTAGGGATTTACCTGCTGTAGATCTGTTAGTAGGGCTCTCAAAACTCTCCGGGTCATGCGGGCTTGGGAAACATTGCCTCTCCTGTTGTTTTCTGCATAGAGCTGGAAAAAAGCTGGGCCACATAAAGGGAGAAGAAATCTTTTGTCGAGTCCTTGTGTCCTTGAAGAATACATGCTTGGAGAAAGAGTCTTGGTGAGTATAAAGAACTGTGGACTTATAGTCTCCTTGTTTGCTTGCTGCTGTGAAGGCCTTCTAGGGCATGCCATCAATAACTAATGACCCAGTCACATCTTACCCTCTGGTAATTCCAGATCTCTGTGGTAAAGACTGGTGAATAGCAAAGTGAGGATCCTTATTTGAAAAAAAATAGTAATAAATGGTTTCTTGATAATCTCTAAAATCATAAATGTCAAAGGTAGCTAAGTAAAAAACTAGAAAGTGTAGATTGTTAAATAGAACCCTG